CTGCGATGCTCTTTGATTCTTGTTCGAAGTTGTCTCTTTGTTTGGCCCACATAAGAGGCATCACAATCATGGCACGAAATTTTATAGACAACTCCGCTTTGTTGCATAGGATCAAGAATGTCTTTGCCTAGTTTTATAAATTTGTCTAATCGATTATTGCAATAGTAGGCAGTATTAAAATTGTATTTTTTAGTGACTGACGTAAGTTTTTCGGATATATTGTTGACATATGGAATTATGAAAAATTTAGTTCCTCCCTCTTTAAATTGAGATGTATTATTTTTATTATTATGTAGTAAGAATTGAATCTTTTTATTAATAGTAGAAAAAATAAATTCTAAAGGGTAGCAATTATTTAGCAAAATCGAAATTGTGTGTTTTACATTTTTTTGCTGAAATTTAGGATGTGATAGCCGAAAAATTTTATCCACTAGATTTATGATGACATCCTTTTTATGTATCAACGGATGTTGGGAATGGAAATTTAGATATCTCCCTGAGAAAGTAAGTTTATGGTATATATCAAAATGAGTCTGTTGTTATCGTTAATAATTAAAACATTTAAAAAGCTAATTTGGTTGTCCGTACTAGTTTCTAAGGTAAAATTTAGTCTCTCATGTATTGAGTTAAAACCGCTAAGAATATTCTCCAATTCATCCCCATTCGCCGCCAATAAAATGTCGTCCACATATCTGTAGTAAAACCTCAGATTACAAGTTAACCGACCAATCGCCACCTCCTCTAAGTCTTGCATAACAATGTCGGCCAAAACGGGTGACAATGGGGAGCCCATGGATGTGCCAAAAATTTGTCTATAAATAGTTTTATTGAAAGTAAAAAACGTGAAGTTTAAAACCAAATTCACCGCAGCCATAAAATCATTTTTGTTTAAATAAGTATACTTTTTTATATGATCCCATCTCTTGGACAAACTAATGTTAACCGCCTCGGAGGGGATGTTAGTAAAAAGAGAAACTATGTCTAGAGAGGCAAGGATACAATTCGGGTCGAGTGTCTCATCTTTTAATTTATTCACAAGATAGAAGCTATTAATAATATGGCTATTTGGACGCGGTAAACTTTTATATATTATATTATGTAAGAAAACAGCGAGAGAATGCAGGGGGCTGTTCACAGATGAGACAATCAATCTTAAAGGATAACCGGATTTATGAATCTTTGGTAACCCATAAACTCTTGGTAAAATGCCATCGGTGGTCATGATTTTTTTATATGTGTACTCATCAATAAGCTTTCTTTTTTTCCATCCGGACAAGAGAGTACGTAACCCATCAGTAATCTTTCCAGTAGGATCTTTTTTCACAATATCATATGTAGCACTGTCAGAGAGTAGAGAGAGTACCTTGTTATTATAATCAACAATGTTTAATGCAACTGTGGAATTGCCTTTATCGGCTCTGGTGAACAAAATGTTTTTTTTATTTGAAAATTAACTGACTTTATATTTATATTAATAAATTTTTTACTTTAAAAGAATTAATTTTTAGGATTTTTTATTATAAAGTACTGAACAATAAAATAGTGTACGATTTAACGTATGATTCATTGTATGTAAGCTCATAGACATAATCAACGCATAAGATGATTCTGTAACTTGATTTATCGTGCGGTAGAAATTATCTATTTCTTTTTCATAGATATACAGGGTGTCCGATAATTGCTGAATCACCTCTCAGGTGCAGGTAGAGTGAACTAAACTGAGTAGAAAAGTTTTCTACCGTTTTGCGATTTTTGCAATAATTAATGAGAAATTAATTAAAGAAGATCGGCCAATTAGCGCGAGTTTAAGCGCGCGGCGAGAAGAGACAACCCACTGTTACGTGGTCGCTAGAACGCAAGGATTTAGCGTTACGCACCGCTCCTATGTTGCCGTTGTCATTTGTAAAGCGCTCCTTCCAACGCTTTGTCGCGCGCCTAGTAATCAAATAACAATAGGCTGTACTGCCACGGGTCTCTTCCCGCCGCGCTCTTAACTCGCGCAAATTGGCCGATATTTTTTAATCAATTCCTCATTAATTATTGCAAAAATCGCAAAAGGGTAGAGGACTTTCCCAGGGAGAACAACAGGTCTAAGAAACGTCTAATAGACATCCATCGACGTCTATTAGACGTCTATTAGATGTCTATAGACGTCTATTAGACGTTTCTTAGACCTGTTGTTCTCCCTGGGTTTCTACTCGGTTTAACTCGCTTTACCTACACCCGAAAGGTGACAGCAATTACCGGACACCCTGTATATTAAAAAATTGCAAGTCTTAAGTCACAATGTTACGATAAAAATTTACTCAACATAATAGTATATAATTGAATATAATAGCAACTGTATTGTGCAGTACACAGATTACACATGTGGATATGTTTTATGATTAGAATAGTGTAAGCAATTTTCAAATTTTTATTGTTGACTTTTAGGAAATTTTTTTCTTCTAGTAAATTTAATTAATTATTTAAGCAAGTAATTAAGATAATTAATTATAAAATTGTAATGCATGTAGTATATTTAAGTAAGATAATATTCTGTAAAATTTAATTTTTTGTTAATTCTTTACTTTTACTTTTGTATATACATTAAGTATATTATAATTTATTGTTACCTTTAATATTTACTCCCCAAAAATAGAGAGCACTTCCAATAAGGGGATATGCTTTTGGACCTTGCAAAGTGTTTACTTTTTTAATAAAAGATCGATACCAAAAATTCGACAAAATATAGCTCACTCCAAGACATATTAAAGTTATTAATATAACAGTTACAAACATTGTTGTATTTATTTTTACAACAATAACGACGTTATTTACAAACAATAGAAATATATGAGTTAGCACTGATGGAACTGCTCGAACTGCGAACACCACTGACGTTATTTCTTCAAATTTTCGCTTTTAATATGCACTCTGACGAGTGGAATGGTAGCAGAAGCATTTATAGTAGAAAACGGGGACAAAAAAAAGAAAAGTTGTTTCCTTTAATTTATGCAAAGGTGGGAGAAAAGAGATAAAGGTAATGATATTTAGAGATAACAGAACGAAGTGAAGTAACGCGAGAAAAAGTGATGTAATATGATGTAATATGATGTAATATGATGTAACTTATGTAGATACATATACTTATGAAATATCTGATAACATGTAGTATGTTATATAATAATATGAAGTTCATATGTTATGAAATCTTTTCTAACTATCTATACATGTTTATATCTGACCAATTATACCATTTTTTCTTGGCAAATTATTCCTACCTGGATAGTTTCTGACAAGACTTAGAACGAGTATTAATTATAATCTACTAACATGGATTAAACTACTTTCTAAATTTCTTAGAGTGAAATCTAACTCCAAACGAGTAAATATTTACTTTAAGCAACTGCCACTCGTAAATAATAAAAATTTACTTTTTACAAAAGTGATTGTTTAACTCTAACGTAGAATAATGTATTACTCTACGTTAGAGTAATGTATTACTCGTTCCGGCGTGAATAATTCACTCGATCAAAGAATGAAATCTTTATTCTTTCGTCAAGCGAATTTTTCACTCAATTGTTACAAGTGAACAGATTCACTCTTAATAAGTCTTAATTCTAAGCCGGTTTTCACACTGACAATGAGATAGTATGCTACATACGACGTAAAGCTTTGATTAGTTGAAATGAGAAGCAGTGTTATTGCTTCTCATGACACTGCTTCTCATTTTAACTAATCGAAGCTGCACATCACACATAGCATGTTACCTTAGTGTGAAAGCTGATTAAATTTCCTTCCTTCTTGTCGCAGCCATATATAGATATATATAACATTAAAATTAAGAAAAAACATATGCTTACAAATTCTACAATTTTACGAAATACCTCACAAAATAAAAAGATATATCCTTAAAAAGTCACTTGCATTCGATTGTATGGTGAGCCGATTTAATAAAGTATTATAAAAATTTTTTTTTGCTATAATAAGAAATAAATAGTTGTAAAATTAACATGACAAAATAACATTTTAAAAATAGGCTAATTTTACGGCTATTTATTAATTATTAAAGCAAAAGTACAATTTTCGAAATATACACTTTACCAATCTCTTAACTGATCACAAGTGTCATTTTATGGACATTATGTTTCAGTGTATTTTGTAATTTGCAGTATGTATTTTCTCGCTTCTAATGTTGTCAATCAATCAAGATGACTACAATGAGAAATCAGAACCTGGAACTAAAATAATACTTTTTTTTTTTAAAGTAAACAATGTATAAATAAGAAAAAGACAAAATAATATTTATTAACTATAATTGACAAAGTAATATATATTATAAAAGCATTATTAAGACGTTATTTTTATGTTATTTATTATTTCTTCATCATTATCAGATAATCTGTAAAAATAATTAAGTTATTATTTCTCAAATAAAATATCTCTCTCATCTAGAGGCTTGCAAAAGTTTGTCATATCCCATATAGCACAAAACATCCTCAGGATATCCTCAGGACATCGAGGATATTTTGGTGTTCCAAGAATGTTCTGAGGACATCGAGATCTCCCCAAGATGTCCTAAGGATATGTAGGATATTTTGTGCTGTATGGGATTTTTTATAAGTTTTACCTAAAAATTAAAGTGAATAATTTTACAAACACGGAATTAAAAAAAACCTGAAGTGACACAAAAAGTGTGATAAAAATAACAGATACTTTAATTGAACGACATATACACTTTTGTTACTATTAATAAACTAAAATAAAAAGTACGACCAACTTTTGAAAAAACTTCTATAACATATATTTACCTATATTTTCCTATATTTACCTATATTTACCTATATTACCTCGGCCGCACCGCGACGAGCCGTGAGCCGGGCGCCGAGCCACGGCGCGTTTCCCCTCTTGCCTCTCCAACGCGCCGCCCACAACCAATGTATGATAGACTAGGCCGGGCTAGACCTCGAGCGGCTCGAGCGCTTCTCTTGACGCGCTCTCATTAGTCCAAATGTAAAAGTTAATATCTCGTTTATTATTGCGAATATCGTAAAACGGTAAAGAACTTTTATATTTATTTCAATCCCATCTACCTCCCAGTTCCCGGTGGGACAAGTTACGCGGGACACCCTGTATATATACAGGGTGTCTGGCAATAATCGCTTCACCGGTCATATACAGGTAGAGGAGGTCAAACCGAGTAGAAAAGTCCTTTACCATTTTTTTATTTTCATAATAAGTACTGAGTAATTAACGAAAAAAGATCGGGGAATCCGCGCGAGTAAAACGCGCGCGGCGAGAAAGACCTCCCACTGTTACGCGATCACTAGGCGCGCGATAAAGCGTTGGGTGGAGCGCTTTACAAATAACAATGGTAACATACGGTGCGTAACGCTAATTGTAAGATCCTTGCGTCCTAGCGACCACGTAACAGTGGAACGCCTTCTCGCCGCACGCGCTTTACTCGCGCGGATTCGCCGATCTTTTTTCATTAATTACTCAGTACTTATTACAAAAATCAAAAAATGGTAAAGGACTTTTCTACACGGTTTGCTCTTACATTACTGAAAGTATTAATTAAATTTAATATTCTTTTCTTTGGGCCAGTTTTAATTTTTAATTCTTTAAATCAATTTCAGTTAGCGCCATGAAAGCGTAACTATCAACTCCTTCATCTGAAATATAAATATATAATTTGATTTAAAGAAATATATTTAAAAAATTAGATGTAATTTAATAATAAATACAGCAGACATATACTATTTACACTTTGGTGTTGTTTTCATATTTTCATATCTTGATATCTCCATAACTTCCATATTATTTATAATATAATTTATATGAATTAATTAAAATTTTAATATTGTGTATGTAGACAGATATATAGTTGAAAGATAAAAAGTAAATTGTAATTATATAATAATTAGAGATAAGAGGCGAAAAGAGCCGTTGCAAGATGTTCGTGCATAAAATCAAATTATATTATAGATATAAAATACATTCAAAATCAAACGTTTCTGCCTATGTTAGGCCTTCTTCAGTGACATTACCAAAAATTACAAAATAAATACAATGTCTTGATAGTCGGAACATTAAAAATTAAATAAATAAACGCTACAAGCTACGCATTGATTTCTTCCTATTAATTAGAATCCAATGTAAGGATATAATTGGAATTCTAATGGAAGAGCCAGAGATAGATTTTGTCCCATGATTCGCCTTCAACACTCATAATAAATATTACGTTAAAACTTAAAAACCGAAGTGTCAAAATCATAGAAATAAATGTGTCAACTTGGTCAAATGGTTGAAAAGGTAATTTATGCACAAACATCTTGCAACGGCTCTTTTCGCCTCTTATCCCTAATTATTGTTAATTTTGGAGCCTGTAACTAATTTTAAATTGTAATTATATAAGATTATACAAGATATTATACAAAAATTATACAAAATATAGTTATAAAGTATTTTTATAATAATATATGATGAAGAACAATATAAGACAAATTAGTCTTAAAATCAGTCCGTAATGCAAATGATTTCAGATCACATAACTCATTAGTGTTTACTAATCTAAATAAATTTAATTTAGGAAATACAAGATAAGCATTTAATGACTCATTGTAACCAAGATACTGCCATTCTTCACACCATAACCACAGCTGATCATCTTTTAGTATTATTCATTCTTTTATACAATCAAATGTTATTTCACTACTTTCGTGTACTCCACTGTCAATAGCAACAAACAAATATTTTCGATATTCTGTATTATAAACCTCTGCTTGATCAATTTTAATAATTTTATCTTTGCCCTGATACTTCATGTGATATAATTGTTGCCAACAATAAGTATTTTCTGCATAAACTTTTGAACCGTTAACATATTTTAATTTGATTTCCCGAGTCGAAATTTTTAGCCTAGATTAAACCTACAAGTTTTGTCGAATTTGGAGAACCAATGTAAGCTTTAATTCATATATATAGATATAACATTACATTAGCTATTGCCCTCCTTTGATACTAAAAATTGTTACTTATTGCCGTTTTTTCCATGTGGAAGCTCAAAAGAGTATCTACTGAAAACCTCTAAAAAGGCTTCAGGTTCTATAAATATGTATTTCTAGAAAATAAATATTCAAAATTACTTAATAATCTATTATCTCATATACTCTACTTGCATGTAATGTATGGATCTTGATTTTAATAAACAATATATTAATTATTATAATTTGCTTAACTGTAAATAGGCTACTATAAGCAAATATTATATAAATAATATTCACTTATCTCTTACATATCTATCTGCAGTTAAGTAAATTACATAATTAATGTATTGCGCTTATTGAAATTAAGATATGCATTAAATATAAATAAAGTAAATGTGGTAATAGAATATTAAATAATTTTGAATTATAGGTCAGATATGTAATAAAATATTAAATAAAATTTTGAATTTTAATTGTTTTTTGTTTATTCGAATAAATTTTTAGTTATTTATAATACTAAATATAATACTGAGTTGCACTTAATTTTTAAAAATATTTTTTACTATTCATTTGTTATTATTTATTTTATATTATAACCAGGGTCGGACTGGAACACCAGGGCCCATCGAGAAAATTTGTAAAAAGGGCCCCCACTCTAAAGCGCCGCGGCAAAAAAATTTTTT